AATGGAGGTAAAAAAAACGTTTTTGGGATTAACGCAAGAAGTATATTCTTTACGTTAGCTTGACCTGGAATATATTTATCTCTCGGAGGCCATTCTTTTACTTGATAATGGCTCTGTGTTGCCCTACTACCAAAGGCAAAGAAAACAGTAAAACTTCGTAAATCCGCCCTGAAGACCTAGTAATAGTCCTATGACTTTTAGGTCACCACATATTTGCCACTTATACGTATTATATCTTATCGCATTTAGAATAAGTGACATTCTTTCGTGTGTTTTTTTCATGGCAACTGCATGTGCAAGAGGAATAGAGGGTCTTCTGTTACCTGGTGAATTTATACAGCTTGGAGCCTGGCTTCCTTACCCTTTGAACTGATGTTTGCCAGAAGGACAAACGGGTGTTAATGGTATGGCGGCATGAATGTCCTCAGACATCAGTACCGCCCTTCACGTTGTGCCCCTGCCTGGCTGGGGTGAATTTGATGAAAACGTTGTTCATCTTTGAACGGAAGATATAGGGGCCTCATTCGACAGAGTGTCGGGGCCTTCTATATCGGGAGGGGTCCTCTACAGTATAATCCATAGCTTCCCTGACTCTGTTATATGGAGCAGAACGGCTTTTAAACTTGTTTTAGACGCTGTGTTGCCAGATTTTGAACAATTTCCTCAGTTTAGGGGAAAATCAAATTTCGAATGTCGTGTTCATTAAATTTTTGTGAAAAAAATCATAACTCAAAAATCTTACGTTTTAGGAGTTTTTAACTATAATTTTCGCATTTAGGGACCAGAAATTAACAAAGAACTGCTTTTGGCATTACAGCCGTAAATTGGCTGTAAACTAGTGATAATAAAAGAGAGATTTCAAACCTGACAATAATTACTTACCAAATCGAACCTGTAAATTTATATCATTTTTTGAATTCAATGTGAAAAATGCTAGAACGAATGAAAAGTAGTAACATTATGTGGGAGAACTCTGATAATTCGTGAGTCTGACGATGGAATACTTTCAAACATTGACTCTTTCAAAAAAAATTATTTGAAAGAAGTTTTCATTTTTACAAAAACAGCCGCAACAATTTTGAAGAACATTAGTGGTTTCACATACTATCTTACATACTGTTCATAAGTTATGTTATATCTGTATGATGGCAGGGGATGAGATGAATAGTTAAGATTTTCAGGTGAGTTTTGTTCAAATCACTTCATAGCGTACATTGGATAAACAGTCCCAATCCATGAATATCAAAGTTGAACAAAATTACACGAAAGAAAAAATGCTTTCGAAACAACTACTTCTATATGAATATTGAAGTATACAAAAACACTTTTTTCTATTCAGTTTATACTCCAAACATTCATTATGGAAATGAATCAGATATCATTCACATTATTACACAATATAGTATATGAAAGAGTTGAAATTTTACATACATGGAACACTGTCATCCTCAATGGCGGAAATTCGATGTTTCGAAATAAGGCACTTGTCTTATTGCCTCTTCAGCACCAATCTGAATAACATTACAAGATCCATTCATAAAATTACGACTTCATGTCACGAATAAGTTAAATCTATTCATTTCACCGATAACATGAGTAGATTTAACTCATTCATTCGTTTATTTGATTAAATCCCAGCCATAGGAATTCTGTTTAAAATGGATAGGAAGGAAGAAAGCAGTCGATTTCAAAATAAACTGTAAACTTGTACTCCATGCAAAGAAGTAACTTTCAGACACAATATGGTTTCAGAAAAATTTTCTGGCTAAAAAGCCGACGAATACGATCCAAGAACAGTGTTTTGGAAAACTGTATTAACTATATCCTTCTAAAGATCATTAGTATCCCAAAGCTAATATGCTGATATTGAATAATCTCAAATAAAACAGTTTCTGCACCTGATCATATGGTCAAAAGTAGATTTAATAGATATTTCTTATGATAACATTGAAATACTTCTCCTAAATCCACTTTTCAAGGAGATCGTCTTATGTCCTTAGAATCATAAATTCGATCTTAATTTTAGCATAACTCATCTAAGCATAGTTGCGCCCCCGGCAGAATACATATTTGGCGTGACCTTAACAAATGCAATAAAATGATGTTGCTGGTCAATGTCGATTACATCCAATAAATCATTGAGGTGTCGATTCAAATGAAATAACGTATTATTAACATTTCCGAATCATGATGAGCGACGAGCATGACTCATTGTTAATTTAGCGATTGGTTAACAAGACATTAAATATTCTTGTTTGAAGAATACACCAACGCTGTGAATGTATGGTGAAGTTCGATTACACTAGCTAACAACTAAGAAAAAAAATTGCGACTAATATTATAATGGTTATACATGAGAGTTCAAAGCATCCTGACATTAAAAATTTTCCATCACGTAAAGATTTTCAGTTATAGTTATTTTCATTTTATACGAAAATTTTCACATATTATATGGAAATATAAGATCAAAACAAGAAAAAAGCAATATAATTTGAGGATAACAGACTTTATTTACAATACACATGAAAAAACATTCAAATAAAGTATTTTGTGCATAACCATTTTGCATTTTGTTTTATCGTTTCACCTCATAAGGAACCAACAATAATCCCCCATTGTTGCTCCATTGTCAGTATGTCTTGGTGGAACCTTTCCCCTTGTTCGTCACTGACAGCACCCAAATTTTCTGGGAAAAAATTCAAACGGGAGTGCAAGAAATGGATTTTGAGATACATGCGACATCCTATTCTGCAGTAGTTTCCAAGTAGTTCATCTACAAGTGTTTCGTAATTTTCTACTTTCTTGTTCCCTAAAAATTCCGAAACAATTATTTTGAAAGAACTCCGCGCAGCTAATTCTACATTACTTAATTTTTGATCAAACTGTTGATCATTTGGTAGTTTTCTAATTTGTGGTCCAACAAATATACTTTCTTTGAGCTTTGCATCACTTAATTTTGGAAAAACATGTTTGAGATATTTAAACGCATCACCTTCTTTGTCTAATGCAAAATTTTTCATTAACCCCATTTTAATGTGTAATGGAGGTAAAAAAAACGTTTTTGGGATTGACGCAAGAAGTATATTCTTTACATTAGCTTGACCTGGAATATATTTATCTCTCGGAGGCCATTCTTTTACTTGATAATGGCTCTGTGTTGCCCTACTACCAAAGGCAAAGAAAACAGTAAAACTTCGTAAATCCGCCCTGAAGACCTAGTAATAGTCCTATGACTTTTAGGTCACCACATATTTGCCACTTATACGTATTATATCTTATCGCATTTAGAATAAGTGACATTCTTTCGTGTGTTTTTTTCATGGCAACTGCATGTGCAAGAGGAATAGAGGGTCTTCTGTTACCTGGTGAATTTATACAGCTTGGAGCCTGGCTTCCTTACCCTTTGAACTGATGTTTGCCAGAAGGACAAACGGGTGTTAATGGTATGGCGGCATGAATGTCCTCAGACATCAGTACCGCCCTTCACGTTGTGCCCCTGCCTGGCTGGGGTGAATTTGATGAAAACGTNCTTCATTGGACCAGAACCTGTCATTGGCATCTCTTTGGGCTTTGCCAAACAAACACTGAACACCTGGATGGCAAGAAGATTTATGGACTTCTGGCACAATATTCCAGGATTGGCTCACTCCAAGGCGTTTATCCACCCTTCGAAGCTTGATACCAAACAGTTTTTGAACTACAGTAGGGATGAACTACGAAGTCTAACAGGCCTTCTTACAGGTCACTGTCATTTGAATCATCATATGCAGAGACTTGGACTGTCTGAAGACAGTGTGTGTTGCCTCTGTTTGGAAAATGATGAAACAGCAGAACATACAATTTGTGTCTGCCCTGCTGGGGACTGAATCAGGTTCTTAGAGTTCGGCAGATCCGTACTCTTTCTATCTGACCTGAAAGACAACTCACCACACAAACTAATCGCCTTCGTTAGGAAGCTGGCCGAGTGTGAATAGGTGTGAGTCACCGGGTTGCGGTGGAGGGTCAAATAGACCAACTCACTTCAGACCTAACCTAACCACCCCACTATCCCCAAAAGTATCCCCCATATAGAAAACTTCAACTTTTTAAGATTTTACGCCACCACCATTACACGAATGAAAATGAACCATGGTGAGTTCCCCGCATATCTCCACAATGATGTGCACATTGATGCTCATGTGACAATTTTTGTAGCGGATATAAATCTCATCCTATTCACATGTCCCAACTTCGAACTGTACCGGACGGATTTCTTAAATAATTTGCTTTCGTCGAATGTTTCGTTTCCAACCAATATAACAGTCCTTTTAGCTACACTCAATGAAAAAATATACAACCTAATTCTAACATTCATAATTAAATCTACATTATCAATATAAAACGTTGTAACTCGATTGACTTGAAAATTCTGTGGCAAAATAAACTCCGGTTTGATGTAAGGGGGGAGGGTTTAAAAAAACTGATCTCACAAATTTTTCCATTATTCGAATAATCTCTCAGCATATTTGAAATTACCTGCCAACTCTTTCTTTAAGGAACACAAGCACTACAGAAAAATCCTTAAGGCGCTCTTAGAGCGGTGCCTGTGCGAAAAGTCCAATTATTCAGGCCTAATGATCGACTCCAATCTCGGATAGAATAACAATATTCGCAAATTGTCAAAAAAATCACAAAGTGATTTACAAAACCGCAATACGCGTTTCACCATACAATAGTTTCCTCAGGCCTGTTCTTAAGAACACGTCCCAAAAATGAATCTACGGTTCTTCAGAATTCAATATAGTATGAGGTTCATTAGTTTTTATTGAATATAACTTCACTTGGTGCAATGCTCTGAATGGTTTTGTGTTTTCCAAATTTTCTATTTCATTATATCTTTCCTTAAATGAATAAATGAAAATCACTGAACCCATATGGTAACTCATCTGGATACATACTTTTAAATAACATGAATGAATATTCCTTTCCACTATAAACTCAACAAACATTTCATTTTCCAGGGTTTGATCGACATCCTGAAAACGAGCAAAATAGATGGTTTAGAAATAAACCTGAAAAAACTAGATTCCAAAAGCGATATCAGCGACTTCATCTCAACAGTCAGAAGTAAACTCGGATCAAACCTTTATTTGGCCCTTTCAGTACCCAGCAGAGCCGAAACTTTGGCGAAATACTACGACTTCAAAGCACTCAGTAAACACGCCGATGTTTTCATTCTGCAAACAGCGTTTCTGGGAGCATCCAAAAATGTTACTTTCCACCCAAGTAGACTTTCCGGATTGTGGGACATGCAAAACACGGTAAGTGCTAGAGTTAAAATTGAAATACAGTACTTGTATTACATTGCCTTTTGCCAGAATATTTGTAAACCAAAAGACATTTTCACAGGGGGTAATTATTTGATTGATAACACTGCTCGCGCTTATTTCGAGTAAAAATGATTGGTATTGTGCATTTTTGTCTGTTGAGTTGAAACGTAGCGCTCGTAAAATGCTTCGTTTTAATATCGCATACTCTGCACTTTCATTCATTTGCCATATATCTGTATCTGTAGAGTAGGGAGGGTGAGTGTAGGCACACAGCACTTAGTCCACATGTGTGTACATCCTTCCGAGGAGTTGTCCTGTCCTTCCCAGGAAGGTGGGCACGTCACTAGGAGACAAATCCTTTATATCGGCAGGTGTAGGCCAAGACTAGCCGAACACACACTATCCTTTTGACGATAACTCCGGACACTCGCATATGACATGCCTGACAGTTACATCTTCCTGTTCACACATCCTGCATAGAGGTATGTCCACTAGCCCTATATTATGGAGGTGTTTTCTTAGTTGCAGAGGCCAGTCAGAAATCCTACTGTCAAGCGTAAATTTATCCTGGTCATCGCCAGATATTTTTTCGGCGCCAGCTTTCCAGAGCCAGCCAGGGTGATCCTAGCCATATATATTTTCATTCCATTGAAAAACATTTGGTATCCTAATAATTTTTTTGTATCTATAATATATCAACATCGACAATTTATTCATTGTTGATACAATAATTGAAGCAGAAGCATCAGGAAATACAAATCAATTCACAAAATTCACAAAATAAAAAAAAAACCTCAAAGGTGCTGCTTCGTTCCGTCCTGTTCATATAAGAGGACATATGCCTTCCCTCTCACAAGCGATTTGGGTGAAATTGGGGACACGTTTGAGTCGTTGTATTCATGCCACGTGCCACTATATGGGTGTCTGCAATATGCTGTGTAATACCCGTTGTAAGTAGTCCCACTGTGATTCGAAAGAGCATATAGAATATAACGACAAGGAGCCACATTGTCTGCTGCATAATTGCTCATACATAATCCTTCTGAAGAAAAGTCAATGGCAACTTCAGTTTGCCTGTGAATATTTCCGTTGGAGATAATATTTTTATTGACTTATTGAAATACGGGAAAACTTATGGATTGATAGGAACTTATTGCATTTTCTTCTTTTCTTGCAACAAACTACTTCTCAATTTTCTATGTAACCAAATGCCACTTCTAGAAAGTACTTTATCATTGGTTCTCTTGGCAGTGTTACGAAAATAAACAAGAAATGAATACGTTATTGTCAAATTCATATGAGTATTGAAAAGATAAGAAATGCAACCTTCTTTATTGCCAATCAATGTGTATTTCTATGTGTATCTTCCCATGCACGCTTATATTCATGTCAGCACTGAACAAACCGTGTTCATATCAAAATCACTGAATATAAGAATTTACATGGTCATTTATTCATGCAAATTGTTACTACTTGTTAATTCAACCTCATTTTGAATTGTGAATAGTATATATATTTTGAATAACAGTGAAACAGGTGGAATTTCTTTAAATTGATAGGGATGTGTTTTAACGAGAGACTAATTATTGGTAAAGAAAAGTTTTGCCTTTCTTACCCTCCATCTTTTTACAAAGAATGTGATCATCTTCCGGAGAAAAAAAAATCAATTCCAAAATGAAATTTTTACACAGGAGTGTAGATCATGCAAAAAATCAACTTTCAAACATGAACTTGAAAAAAGCCCTCTTTCATATTATCATTGAATTATACAAAAAAAAACACTTTTTCCTATTCTGTTTGCACTCCAAACATCGTTATGGAATTGACTCTATTATTCACAGGATTGCTACGAAATTCTAATTTTTTCAATAGTCAAATAGTATTCAGTTATGACATATAAAATTCTGCTCATAGAAATACGTACATCTTTATTTATTTCTTCAAATTAACATTTGTTCACAAAAAGGATTTGTAGCTTTAATAACTTCCAATAATTATATGCGAGCGCTTTCGATAGCAGGCTGCACTATCATTTACATGACTCTACTCAAACTGAACGTTTTATCTTCTTATTTGTTCTTTTATAGGGTTAGAACTCCTTAGTGTTTGTCCTCTCCTTCCATCCGGATGTCTCTTTAGATTTTTCTGTACTTGTGTTACAACTGGTAATATCCTTTGTGTTGGTGTGTTTATCAAGGCTTATTGTTTCTAGGAATATGTATTGTTTTGTGGAGTATATTGAGTTTTAGGTGTTATACTCCACAAAACAATACACATTCCTAGAAACAATGAACCTAGAAAAACACACCAACACGAAGGATATTACCAGATGCAACCCAAGAACAGGAAAATTTCAAGAGACATCCGGATGAAAGGAGAGGACAGATACCTGCACTAAGGCGTTCTACCCGTATAATAAATCACTTCAAATCTGCTAATTTGTGTGAGATTCTGGACCTTCTTCTGATACCAAACATTAACCTGATACAAGAGTTTTGAACTTTTTGTATGCGACACCTGTCGTTCTTGTCTAAACATGAATGATAAACAGCGTCACAGTGGTTGAAATGAGATAAAACTAATGAATCACATAGCATTTTCTTGACATCTACATCCAAATATTGTCTATGGGGATGTATGAGTTTCAATGATGAATAAGCAACTTTAAGTTTGTAGGTTATATGTTCATGAAATCTTAGTTTATGACCTAAAATCAACCCCAAATTTTTTGAATACGGTCTAGATTGTATCTTAGAGTTTCCCATTTTAAAGCTGTAGTTTTTTACTTCTTCCTCGATGCAATCACTTCCAAAAATGATAGCTACTGATTTGTTTGGATTGATTTTCAACATATGGTCAATGGACACTTCTAGAATCGTATTTAAATCAAAATTTATATCCATTACTGCTTGACCTATATATCTGAAGATTTGAAAGATAAATATAGTTGAGAGTCATCTGCATAAAAGTGATATTTACAGGACATCATCTTCTTGATAAATGTGGCAGTATAAAGGGTATAGAAAAGTGAGCCTGAAATATTGCCTTATGGTACTCCTGTTTTAACTTCCCTCCAAGTAGAAGAAAGATTATGAATCTGTACTTTCTGTAATATATTATCTAGATAAGATGATATCAACATCACTGATGCATCACTGAACCTAAAAAAATGTAATATAGCACAAAGTATTTTATGATTGGTGTCAAATGCTTTTGAATAATCCAAAAAAATCATAATGGTGGCTTCATTTTCATCTATAGCTTTGTTTATGTCATCTACGATCTCTAATAATGCTGTTGCACAACTGTGACCTTTTCTAAAACCTGACTGTTTATGAGGCAAAATATTGTAACGATTAATGAAAGGTCGCATTTGATTTTCCATTACTCTCTCTATAATTTTGGAACATGTCGGGAGAATACTTATTGACCTTAAATAATTAAAATTTTATGGTTGATTATTTTTTGGTAGGGGTATAATTTTTGCACATTTCCATGCATCAGGAAAATAACTTTGACTTATGTATAAAAGAACAAACAAGAAGATAAAACGTTCAGTTTGAGTAGATCCATGAAGATGATAGCACAGTCTGCTGTCGAAAGCGCTCGCATATAATAATTAGAAGTTATTGAAGCTACAAATCCTCTTTGTGAAGGAATGTTATAAATATTAAAACTTTGAAAATAAAGGAAAACTAACTGCCTCAATCAAAATCTTTATTTATATCTGAGAAGAATTCTGTTACCATCAAAAATGTGTACCTGAGAAGAAGTGTACAACAGAAGTGAATATCGGCAACATATAGAAATTTTTTCAACTTTGTATGTCAGTACTTCTTGAGACACATCATTCTTCAACATTTGGGTGAGGTAGGTAAAGATCCATCAGGAATATTTCCGCCAGTTTCCTCTCTCGGAATGTATACAGCTGCATAGTCAAAAATGATAATTCAATTCACTTTTACTGAGCGATTCATCTTACTTGTCCCATTCTCTTAGGAAATTAAATTTAATAAAGCAATTTTTGGCATGGTAATAGGAGAATGTTAATTCATTTACTATGAGCTCTGAAGTATATCATTTTAATTTATTCCTAACATTCGAATCATGAATGATTATTGAAAAATGAAAGTGAATGGAGCTTCATATAGCGGAAAAGTATTATTATTAACGGATCTTCGTGATTGATGTTGACTTTAACATTAATGGTTTGTATTTAAAACTGGTAATGTATTGAATTTTCTGATACTTATGAAAAAAATTCGAGGAATTGTTATCCTCAATGGCAGACATCGATATTTCGAAATAAGACACTTGCCTCTTTAGTACCAATCTGGGTAACACTCAATTCAATTTTTTGTATAAAGATGGAGAAGTAGAAAGCCAAAACCTTCCTTTCCTGAAAATTATTCTCTCCTGAAAATATACCTCTTTAATTCCAATAGAATAACTATTTCTTCGGTTTGTACGAGGTGAATGCTATGAATCAGAGTTGAAGATCGCTGTTATAGCTGAAACGTAGTTGAATGCTGAAGGCACTTTCAAGTATCCATTATTCTTGAGGGTATTCATTAACCAATAAGTTTTTTGGGATAAGTTATATAAATGAATAAAGAGTGAAATTGAAAGACCCTCTATTATGGGTTATTTTTGTTGAAATTTGTTTAGATAAAATTTTCATTCATGATATCAGTAAGTGCAATCATATGTTCACGACAATGTTGATACAGAGAAAGTCCAATTCCATGTGTATTTTCTGCTCCAATCGAATCGGATAAACATAAACAGAGATTGTAATGGATAGATCCATTATTCAATGTCGTTATCATTGTAGATATAAAAGATATATTGGAAATGAAAAATGTTACCAAACAATGAAACTGTTCAAGATCTATCGATTAATTCCAAATTTAATAGTGATCACATAAGTCTGATGACTGAGAAAATAAATATTTTTGAATAAAATTCTGACAGTCGTCTTTTCCAACTTA